GGACCGTATCCTGAGCCTGGGGCCGTCAAACAACGCTCCCTGATGAGAACACTGGCCAGGCCACGCCACCCAACGATGCGGCGGCGGAGCCTCGGGCTGGCCCTCCTGGGCAGGGAAGACTTCCGAAAGTGTTCAAGCGGCTTTTTGTCCCATGCTGGGTCTCCGGGGACTCCAGGCCGCTCCGGCGTCAGCGGCAAGCAGCGGGGGAGGGCTGGGTGGGGCAGGGAAGGGCGGGCCTCATGTGGAGCCAAGTGGAAGGGCGCGGCGGAGGAGCGGGCGCAGCGGAGGAGGGGGGGCGGGGAGGAGTGCGGAGGCTGGCAGAGGAGGTGAACATCGTTGACCCGACCCCCTTTTCCCACTAGCGTGGCCTTGACCCCACTGGCCGATCTACCCCCCCAGATGGGGATGTATGCCTGTGCCTTCGGGTTTCGAGGGGCGTATCCCGAACTGGGGGGCTGATATGGTGGGGCTGCGATGCCATGGCACGGTGGGGATGGGGAGAGGTTGCGTGAACGGTTCTGAGGAAAAGGCGAGGGGTGGAGTGGAGTGGAGTAGAGGGAAGCGCCCACCATGGCGCCCGCCATCCGTTGTCTCTCCTCGCTCTTCCCCCCTACTTGTTCTTTCTATTGGTAACGTTTGTTGTTCGCCTACGTGTGTTCCCAGAGGCTCTGCTTCGCCAGCTCCTCGATTATTGTTACTCGAATGTCTCACGGAGCTCCCATAGATCGTACTCCTTAGAGCTTTTCCTAACCCTGAAACAAGTGGCAGGAAGTAGGGAAGAGCGGTGGTAGGAAGTAGGGAACAGCGAGAAGAGCCGGCACAAAGGCGGATAAGTGAAATCTAGTTGGGAGAGGGCTGCAGAGAAGAGTGGATGAGTGCGGAAGACCACAGAGGAAAGGGGGGGGTGCGGATTGGTTTTGGGTTACGTAAGAGTGGAGAAGGACAGGGGATAACACAAGTGGGGGGGAAGAAACACCGCACAATATTGAAACACGCAGACTTGCAGGAGGGCGAACCTGAACCACAGTTTCTCGACCATGACCCGACGAAGGCCGCGATGGGGCTTTCACGTTTCGAGTATGGCTCAGTTCTGGAGTCCTGGAGCACTGCGTCAGCTCAGAACTGGTGTTCTAACCGCCCGCATGTGCCATAATCGCCCGTCTGTCCGCCCATTGTGTCATGCTTCTTTTGTGAGCAATCGAGGGCAACGTTAGCACAGCGCACTCGCCTCGTTGTGCTGCTGGGATGTCGCACCCCCTCCTCCCTCAAGAAGAAGCAGACACGACAGGGTCCAGACACTGACTCCACCCTCCTCCGAGACGCCGCCTCTGCGCAGCCGCGGCCGCCCCCTTTCCGCGACCGCCTCCTGCTATGCCCTCCTCCCGCAGCCATTTGGCCCAGGCCGTGCTCGATCGCGCTGGCGCCGGTCCTGACGCGCGGAGGCTGCGGTGGGGGCCAGGCGGCTGCACGCAAGGGTGGCCCCTCGCCAGAGTGACCTGTGGGTGCGCGGCTTTCGGGCTGCGGGGGGCCCAGACATCCAGCGCACGGAAAACGTGTGGAGGTCTTCGTCGATTTTGGGCGCCTCGAGGTCCCTCGTCGGGCCCCGGGACCGTCAAGAAGCGACTCCGGATGGGCCGCCCTGGAGAAAGGGTCGGGACTTCCTAGGACTCTGTGCGGAACAAATCAATATATCAAGGCCGGACCTCTGGGGTGGGTCAGAGGAGGAGAAGTCACCCATACCGCTACTCACTCTCCCTCGTTTTCCCCTTTTGTGGGCCTCCTAGGAGGTACTCGTCGCCACCGCTGCACTCGCCTCGAGATCCTGGTCAGAACGCACCCCGGGAGATGTCCGGGGAGCAGCCGTAGATCAGTAACTTTGGATTCCCCCATGCGGGGGGGCGAGGGGGTGAACAAAACCCGGGCTTTGTGAGCAGCTGCCGCCGCGCTGCGCCGCCCGCAACGGACCCCATCTTATTCTTCTTCGGGGCTCAAGAGACCGGGGTCAATGGAAACGGGGGTCAGCCAGAGCGCCGGGTCTTGATGGATCCTGCAGAGCCAGGGTCGCATTGACCCGGACTTGGGTATAGGATCATTCTGCAGGATCCTGCAGGATTCTGCAAGGCCTGACTGACCCGGGTCTGGGTTGACCCCGGTCAGTAGATCCTTGAGTTTTGCAGCATGTGTCGAGCCAGATCGATCTGTGGGGGTCCCGGGCCCGAAGCCGGACGAAACAACGTTCATGGTGAAAAGTTTTCCCAGACATGCGACATCCTGATTTTTTCAATACGAGGTCCCTGGAAGTCCCGACCCGTTCCCCGGGACCGGTTTTTCATCCCGAGTCGTCTTTTTGACGCTCCCGAGGCCCGACGAGGGCCCCCCGAGGCCGAAAATGGCTCAAAACCCTTTCCGTCCTGATTTTGTTCACGGCGCGATCCTCTCCGGGGTTGCGGCGCCGAGATCTGAGGGTGCCGCGGGGGCCACTCCTGCGCGCGGCGGCGCGGATGCGCTCTCTCTGCCGCGCGGGCCGCGCCCCGGCGTGCGCGACCTCCCGGCGGCTGGGCCCCGTGCTGGTGGCCGCCGGGCTGGCGAGGGCCTGCGCCGCGGCGGCCTCGGCGTCGTGCCCCGGGAGCTTCCCCGTCGAGGGCTACGGGGACGTGGAGCTCGTGCCGACGGGCTGGATTGGCCCGGAGACCCGGGGGCGCCCAGGCCCATATAGGGCCCCTCGAGTCCTGGCCAGGGTCCCGGCGGAAAAGCAGGCGTTGCGCTCTACAGTGCCAGTTGCAGCCGTGATTGCCGTGGCATCGGGCGGGTCCCGGCGGAAAAGCAGGCGTTTCGCTCTATAGTGCCAGTTGCAGCCGTGATTGCCGTGGCATCGGGCAAGTGTCGACGAGCGACCCAGGATGAGAAGCCGGTCTCCCAGGGAAGGGGTGGAGGCCTCTCGGGGCCGTCGGCATGCCAGGTCGAGGCGTCGGGTCTGGGAGCGGGGCCAGAGTGCGGCTGGAGGACGGTCAAGAAATGCCCGAGGGGCGGGGGGCGTCCGGCAGCAGCGCCTTGGGGGGATGACCAAGACGTTGGGTTCCAGGCCTGCTCGAGGGCGTCGTCGTCGTCGTCGGCGTCGTCGTCAGAGAGATGTTCTTCCATCGCCCTCTCCGCTGTCTTCCCAGCGGCAGGAGACTAGTTCCCAAAACTGTCTTGCCACTTAGGATTATAATGTTCCAACCGACTGTAGCCCTAATCACCAGAAAGAGCTTCGAGCACCAAGAAAGCACCGCAACTGGAGGGTGCTCTCGCGTCGGGCCCTGCAGAGGCGCTAGTCGTTCGACATCGTCGCGACACTTTTCCTTTGGGGGCTCGAAGCCATTCCTGGGATGCGGTCCTTAAGCACGATAGGGGGCAACATGAGCTTAATTAGGAGCTCGTGCTTGCCGCCCCCGTGTCGCTCGCTGGGTGTGCCGAGGCTCCGCCCAGCGGGCCGCCTCCTGGGCACCTCTCGGCGCCGGCCCCGCGAGCTGGCCGGGTCCCGCCGAGGCTTCGCCCGGTGGGCCGCCTCGCGGGCGCCTCCATGGGCGCCCCGCTGCGCTCGCCGGGCGGGTCCGCCGAGGTGTCGCCGAGGTGGGCGGCCGCGGGCGCCGCGCGGGCGCCCCGTGCGGTTGCACGGCGGTGCTGTCGTCACCTATAGGTGGTGCCACTGTGCTGACAGTCACCCCGCAGAGCAAGGATGGGCAGCCTTCCCAACGGCCCCCCCTGCATCATTTTGCCGCCGCGTTCCATCCTTGGCCGCTTTCGTGTGCCGCGTCCCGCTCGGAAAGCTCCGAAACGGCCTTCCAAGCCCCTTGCATTCTTATCGTCCATCCTTATGTTACGGGTCGACTGTTCACCTGATAGCTTACACAGCACAGCTTGAACCACGAAGCTGTAACCACACTGCTTACACCACTGCATAGTTCACACCAGGTAGCTTGCACACGTAGCTCCCACCACAATGCTTACACCACATAGCTGACACCACACATAGATTGCACCACACTGCTTGCAACACGCAAGGCTTGTACCTCATAGCGTGCATCACATAGCTTGCACATCCAGGGTGCAAGAACTCATTGCTTGATGTCCACGCTGGCAAACATGTTGTAGTCAGTCCCCCTATGTGTTCCTTGACCGTCATCCTTTCCGTAGTAGGATGACGTTCACACGGCACTGTAAGACAGTGTAGTGTCGACACGGCGACGGCCCCGGCGCGGGCGTTCAACATTGGACGCCTCCACTGGCCGGGAATCGGCCGACGTCGACAGATCAGCACGGTCGGATAGCCGCGCTCGTCCAAGGCGGAGCGATGCATCCGGCGCCAGAAACCAGCCCGCAGTTGGACCCGACACGAGCTTGCAGTGGATGTGTCGACGGATCGCGCGCTTGGTGGTGCGGGGCGATCAGTACCCCGATGATCTCCGTGGCGACGTCGCCGACGCACCGCCGATGTGGTGCGACCCTCTGGCCACATCTGCTCTGGCCCCAGCTGGGCGGCCTCCAGGAGAGCAAGTTCAGGCCCGTGAACGTGAAGGGTGGCTCGTTGGAGGCCCATATGGACGCGCGGGCCTACTTCGCGAACGCTTGCACGCCAGGAAAGTACGACAACACGCAGTATGTCGCTCTCAATCTGCTCGGCAAGGCGATGCGGTACACCACAGACGTCTCTGGCGCGGGGTGCGGCTGCAATGCGGCCTTCTACCTCACCTCCATGGCGCAGAACAAGGCGCCCTCCGAGTGCGGCGACCACTACTGCGACGCCAACAACGTGTGCGGCCAGGACTGCGCGGAGATCGATATCCAGGAGGCCAACCAGTTCGCGTGGCACTCGACGCTCCACGCGGCCACAGACAGCTCGGGACTCGGAGCCGGCTACGGCGGGGGCGACGGCTGGGACGGGCCCCGCGACTGGGGCAAGGAGGACTACGCGCCCCGCTCGAGGTGCATCGACACGGACCTGCCCTTCCAGGTGGAGGTCTCGTTTCCCGTCGACGAGAAGGGCGTCCTTCGTTCCATGGACGTGACCCTCTCGCAGGGCGGCTGCGATCTGCGCGTGGGCGTGGGCGCCTACGAGGGCAACGGGGAGCTCACGGAGGCGCTGCAGGCGGGCATGACCCCGATCGTCAGCTACTGGAGCGCGAACGACATGCTCTGGATGGATGGGGTCGGCGAGGACAAGCAGGGCCCGTGCTCCAGGGACGACGTCAGCAAGTGCACGGAGCTGGTCCGCTTCTACAACTTCTCGGTGTCGGAGCTCCCCGCGGGCGGTCCGAAGCCATCGGCGCCCGCAGCGGACGATGAGAGGCCCGAGCAGGCCACCCAGGAGCAGCCCGAGGAGGCCACCGAGGACGAGGAGCCGGAGCGGCCCGAGCAGGCCGCCCAGGAGCAGTCCGAGGAGGCCACCCAGGACGTGAGGCAGATGCGGCCCGAGGAGGCCACCCCGGAGAGGTCCTCGCCGCTGCCGCGCGACATGTGTGCCAAGACGCAGAAGGAGGACTGCACCTGGGCGCAGTGCTGCAGGGACGCCGGCATGCAGTGCTACCGAAAGAACGAGTACTGGAGCGCGTGCAAGAGGGAGTGCTCACCCGGCGGGCTCGACCCGGAGGACGAGGGCGACGCTAGGACGCCCTGGTGGTGCGAGGAGCTGGGCGAGAGGACCCCTGGCAAGGCGGCCTCCAGGCCAAACAGCAGCACTCCGACGACCACGGCGCCCTCCAGGCAGGCTGCGAAGAGCACGCTCGACGAGGTCCAGGCTCCTGAGAAGGCCAGCGCTTCGACGACCAGGGCGCTCGTCACGACGACTTCCAAAGGCATGCCCGACGGGGCCCATGGCCCTGAGAAGCTGGAGGCCCTGAGCAGCGGAGAGGCGAACCTGCTCGTCCGCCTGCTTGACGAGGTCCAGAGGAGAAGTGCGTGTCGAAGTACCGATGCCCTTTCCCGCGCCTCTTCTCCCCACCTGGTCTCCTGGGGGGTGGGGGGGGTATTCGTCGTCGCCAGGCCTGGGTTTGCCTTGGAATCTTCAGTCGGAACGCGCCCTCGGAGAGGTCTGGGGAGCTGTGGTAAAGCTGCGACAGGTCCGCTCCGTGTTGACGCGGCGACGACTCCAGCGCGGTCGTTCAAGGTTGAACGCCGCCAGTGGCCCAGGATCGGGAGACGTCGAACGAGCTCGACCTGGGGCCGCGCTCGTTCAGGGCTGGACGATCCACGCGGCACCAGGCACCAACGCACTGGTCGTCACGGCGCGAACTCCCCCCAGAGGTCAGCATGCCGCAGCTCGAGCAGGGGGAGGCCGTGACGGTCCTCATGGGGGACCGGGAGGCCCGTGCGACGGTGGACCTCAGCGCGCTGCCGCCGCCGGCCCCCCATCGCGCGGCCACGGCACCCGCGAAAGCATCGCCGACCTCCACCCGGGCGCCCTCGCTGCCGCATGCGGGGGTCGAAGAAGAAACATACTCTCCTACATCGGCGTTGCGAAAGGTTTGGCCAGCTGCGTGCCTCCACCAAGGCAAGTGTGTTGGGCCGGAGCGCCATGGCGAAGTCGAGCTGCAGGAGTGCCGACCTCTGCCACTGCGAAGTCGGAGCAGAAGTGTGTGTCGAACTCCAGTCTGGAGGAATTCCTCGGCGGGAGCGCCATTTCGAAATCGAGCCCGAAAGTTCCGAAATCGTTCGACATGTTTTTTGAGGAAGTCTCAAGGAAACCCTTTTCGAAGTGGCCATACCGCTTGGCATTGAGATCATTGAGTTTCTGACCAGAGATGATGATAGTGTGGATTTCGCTCGGGACTCCCTCCAAAACACGATCTCGACTGGATTTCGAACTCATCGGGCTCGAATTCGAAACGGCGGTTCCGCCCGAGACTTGCGCAAAACAATGCTTCAACAGAGCATCGTACCGGGGCCCCGCGGCCGAACGGGCCCCTTGGACGCCTCCCCTCCCCACTGCTCACGTTGTACCACTGGGCCCCGTCGCCTAACGGGAGGCGCTGTATGTTGGCCGGCCTTTCGCCGCGGCGAAGTGAGCACAACTTGTCGGAGGTCCGCGCAGATCTCTTGGATCTGCGCTGTGCCCCTCTGACCGGCGCTTGCGGCGCGGCCGTTGGCGCGCTCCGCGCGCGGCGTCCGGCGGCGCGAGGCAAGAGACCCTCGCGGACCTCCGACAGGTTTCTGTGCTCGTGCCGACGCTTCTCCTCCCAGGCGGGGACGCCGAAGAAGAAGGGCACCGCGGGCGGGGAGGCCAAGGCGAAGCCGCCCGTGCCGGCAGCCTCCCCGGCGCCGACCCCGGCGCCGACCTCCGCTCCCCCCGCGCCCTCGCCGCCGCCGGCGCGGCAGGCGCGGGGGTCGGTGGAGCCGGGCGAGGATCGGTGGTTCAAAGAGATGGGGTACTGAGGGATGGGGTCCTAAGGATAGGAAGGGGTCCAAGGGTAACTTGACGTTGTTTAAGCGCAGCTCGTCCTTCGGACCCCCACCGTCAGGACCCCATCTTTGAGCCACCGAGAGGAGGAGCTGGGTGAGGAGGACGGCCCGGTCGGGGAGACGGAGGCGCAGCGGCGACAGCGGATGGCCGCGCTGATCGTGGACGGCATCGACCTTGCCGCCGCGCCGCGGAGCGCGCGGCGGGCCCCGCCGGCGAGCGCGGCGGGCAGCGGCGTGCTGGCGGCAGGGCTGGCGTACGTGGCGGCCTGCGCGGCGGCGTGCGCGGCCGTGGCGGCCGTGCGGAGGCGGCGCTGGGCGCTGCCCGGTTCGCAGCTGTATGGGCGGGTCGCCGACGGCGAGGGGGTCCTGGCATTGCCCTAGCCTCCTCTCAGACGGGACAATTCGAGGAACAAGAAAGCGGCAGCAGGCCTGGCAGTGTGGATCCCAAGCAGAAAGTCATTGCACGGTGGGTGTGTAAGCCATGTGGCGCAAGTCATGTGGTGCAAAAGCTATACGTTGCAACCTATGTCGTGCAAGCTTTGCGATGGAAGCCGTGTTGTTCAAGCTAGGTGGTGCAAGTCATGTGATGTAAATGCAAGCTGTGCGGTACAAGCTACGTGGTGTAAGCTACGTGTAAGCCTCAAGAGAGCCCCATGATGGCCCCAAGACGATTCCCGAATCATTCCAAATCGTAACCCGGTCGTCCAGGGAGGCCGCGGTTTGAAACGAAAATCATCATTCAATGGCTGTCGCCGCACCGCCGGAGTGGAAGACGGAGTTCGCGGAACGCGCGCGATCGCTGGGCAATCTTTGGGTTTCGGCCTGTCTTACGTAGCGTGTGGGGTTCAAGGGGGGGCCTTGTAGGGGATTGTTTTGAAGTTTTTCGTGGTCTCATGTGGGTTGCTTGGGGCCTTCACGGGGCCTGTCCCAGGCCTCCTTTTTCCCCCCCCTGGATAGGCTCGGGGATCGTTGAAACCCAGCTGGGGGTGCGTCCGGCCAGAAGTTCAAAAGTGGACCTAGCTGTGTCGACGAGGAGCTTCCTGAAGGCCCAGAGGGGGCGGAGAGCGCCCAAGAGCTAGGAGTCTCATACCTCGAGCTTCGATCCACCCTGTGTTCCTTCCTTTGTGAAGAGGAGGCGCCGGCCAGGGAGGTCGATCCTCACCCCGGACGCTCGGTGGTGGTCCCAGGCACCGAAAACGGTTCCTGGAGGCTGAATTTGAGGAGATGCCTCGGGTGGTCGAAAGACCACGAAAATCTGTGAGACATCAGCGGCGACGACGAAATCTTCTCTCTCTTTCTGTTCCTCTTCCTCCTCTTCCTCCTCCTCGTCCTGTCTTCTTCTTCTCGATGGAGGCAGATGCCCGCGGCAGTTCCGGCCGCCTTTCTTAACATTTGTGTGTTGAGCAGTTTTTGTTTGTTTTTGATAGGTTTCGGTATCCGGGGCCGTTGCTGGGCCCCAGGACTTTCGAAACCGGACGGGCCCGGGGCGAGAAATTGCATCGGCGGACCCAGGAAGAGGTTCGGGGAACGAATTTGTGCGAAGTAGCCCGTCGGACTCGGGCGTTGTTTTTTTTGTTGGGGGGGGGGTCCGGGCCCCCGGGCCCCTCCCCTGTCGCCGCGGTTGGATGCATTTGGGTATGAAACGATTGCGACTGGATTCCGGGAAGGGTCCGGGGGGGCCCATGGTGAACGATTTCTGCGCGGGGAAAACATACTGCTGAGTCTGAGTATTTTCAGTTTTTTCCTGGTTTACGTCGTCGAAGGGCCGCCTCCGGGTCCCGTGGTCACTCGGGGGCATTGTGGATCCCCGTCAGGGCTTCTTGGGTTCGTTCTGGCGCCTTGTCCTGTTTTTTATGGGCATATGTGCTAAACTTGGACGCTTCCCTCAGAGAACGGGCCGATGTTTGTTTCTGGAGGGCCTCTTGGGTCGCGTCCTGGTGGAGCGTTTGTGCGTGTAAAGGGTCTCAGGGGCCGCGTGAAAGGCAAAGAGGCGAACGTGTTGGAAATATGTGCTTCCCATCGAGAATGGGACGGTCGTTGCTTCTGGAAGGCTTCTTGGGACGCCTCTGGGTAGCGTCTTGAGGCGTCTTGGGGGCCTGTAGGGCTGTCGGGAGGCCATGTTGGACGACTTGGTGCTCTGTTGAACGACTTGGGCCGACCAGGAGGCCTTTTACGAACTCTCTTGGGCCGTCTTGGGGCCCTCTTGGAACCGTCCTGCGGCTTTCCAGGGCCGTTGCTATGGTTTCTGGGGGCTTCTTGGTCCGCCCGGAAATCGTTTTGGAACCCTCTTGAAAGCCTCTGGGGCTGTGGGGGGTCGACGTTGGATGCTCCCTGGGCCGTTGTAGGAAACCCAAGAGACGAATGTGCTGAAATTGTATGTTTTCCCAAGGGAATGCGACAATTTGTACTTGGAACGCCTCGTAGTAGTTTTTCAAACGTTTCGGGGGCCGATGGGGAATCGTCTGCAGGCAAGCTGGGGCGGTTTGGACCGAATCGTCCCCCTCGTGGGCTGTCCAGAAGGCCTTTGTTGGCCCGTTCTGGGGCTCTTGTGGGACCGTCTTGCGACTGTCCTGGGCCGTTGCTGCGGTTTCTGAGGCTTTCGTGGTGCACCCGGAAGCCGCCGAGGAGCCTTTTTGATAGCCTCTTGGGGTGTCGGGGGTCGAACTTGGAGGTTTACTGGGCCGTTGCAGGCTTCGTGGATGC